CTTCGTAATAATCATTTACGATTATAGAAAACGTAGATAGAATTATTATAAATAGATAATCAAAATTTATTTTAGTAGAAATAAGTTATACTAGATATTATAGCTCCTTTTTATTATTAACCATTTTTTTTAACCATGAATATTTTTCATATCCGTACATTTCTTTGGCAGTTTGGATTGTCAGTAATGAATATACCAGGTTTTCACTACTTTTTTTATAAAATTTTAATATTGCTGACATCATCTTGTTGACTAATGCAGTACTAAGCATTTAATATTCAATTTTAAATTTGTATAGAAATTGTACAAATTACACGAATGTGTATATTTTGCAAGAATATTTTTTGTATTTAATATTATTGCATATAGTATATGGTGTATATAGTATTTGAATATTAGAAGATTATGAACTGCAATCTTTATTATTTTTGTAAAATGGTGAATGATATATACGTGTTTAAGGGATCTTATTTTAAGAAGTATTACTTACAAATGGAAAGTACTTAACACTAAAAAGATTATTATCTGTTCTTTGTACAGCAATGTATTATTCAATCAGCAAATTTTTAAACCCCCACATTACTATCGAAGCACATGTAATATATGGATTTTATATTTTTTTTTCACTATCTTGACTCTAGGTACTGAATGATGATGGTATGTGTTGACAGGAACGGGCGGAGTTGCTGTTGCTGAGGTATGCATCTCGATGGGCACATCACTTTGTGCGCCGGAGACTTGATCTGGTTATAGACTCACAAGAACGTAACAGAGACATCACGGGTCTTTCTGTTTCACCACGACATTGTGTCTCCGCCCGTTGTCCTTGTCAATTCATTGAGGACCATCTTAAATACAAGCCTAGAGGCAAGTTAATATTTCGTACGTTTTTTCTATTGCCAAACTTTGGTAGCAAATAACTAAGGCCAATCACTTAATAAGTATAATGTGATAACAATTCTATATGTTGATTGATTGATTGATTGATTGATTCATTGATTAAATGTTCCTAATATCTATTTTTTACTGTGACTATTTTTGGGATCTTGTTTATACATCATTTAAAAAAAAAATGATGTAGATTTCTTAAAAATTATCTTGATATTCATTTATATTATTCGTTCACTTAGTTACATGTAGCCATAATACGATTTTTGACTGAAGTCCTTATATGCAACATAAAATTTGTTGAGCTCAATCATTGTACTTTGCTTTTATCTAATATAAGTAACATTCTCCATTTTACAAAACATAGTGGCACATTATATTAAAAATAAGATATAAAAAAGAAGTAGATTATATATGTTATTATTTTAGGTAAGAAAGACAAATTAATAATCATTCCGTTATTACTATTATTGTTCGAAAACTGAATTATGTTACAACATTCGTAGTTCATTTAATATATGTTTTTATAATTTGGTAGATATTACATATATATATACATATGTAAGAATATATAATTTCCCAATTTCATTATTGGAAAATTATATATAATTCAAAAAGATTATAATTCTTTTGAGAAAAGAATAATGTCTACGTTTGTTTCATTTGAAGCAACTTACAATTAAAGAAGCATTGGTATTAAAAATTTTGAACTCTTTTGTAATCGCTGCGAAAGTATTACATGTTAAAAATGTTGTGAATGCCATACAATATTATATTTACATATCTTTTAATCCGTCCTAATTCAATATATTGATGTATTATGTAAGAATATAATATATTGTATACTTTTATATTCTGTTTAAGAACACTTAATTCCTGCAAATAAACAGGGTTGAACAGTTGTTCTACTTTTATATAAAAGAAAAATGTGAAGCACTTTTATATTACTGTTAAAAATGTTATAAATAAATATAAGAGCATAATACACATGTTTTTTGGTGAGGGGATAATTACATTCTTTATAAGCCTTCTCATTAAAGTAACAATTACCGCACAGAAAACATATTATCGAGTCTTAGTTACTTAAATATGCCTTATGTGTATATATATATTTTTCTAAAACATAGGTATTTGTCACTAACCACTGACTAATTCAGGGATGTTACTTGCATGCAGCTGGACAAAAGGGGATACAATTTGATATTTTGTCTGAACCACATTTTGTCAACACATGAAAAACTCATTTGGTAAATAGTATTGTGTAAGTATCGTATAATTCGACTTCATGTATATCTAAACAAACGTGTTCCGTATAAAGTAGGTACGTCGCTTTTTACAATATATTTATGTATACACATTTGGTGAAACTTGGCGTAAGGAAATTTTTTTCATGAAGCGTGTAACCATAATAATCGTGTAATCTTTTATAGTACATAATTAGTATTACTAATTTAAAATTTTTGCATGATTTTTTCAGGATATCCACCTGGTTTTACGTGGTGTGCTTATCTTAATGAACCATTAGTTAGATATGAAGTTAGATCTGAGATGGCAGGTATCCCTAGTTATTAATTTCGATCACTTAAACAAAGCACAACAGTATTACTAACACTAAACGTACCGCGCCTGGTCAAATGATCGGTTTTTAAATTTGATTGAAAATTCTGTGTTTTCTTTCGTTCATTTAACTTTATATCAATTCCTATACTGTCTGATTAATCGGGTTTTCAATTTTTATGTTTCCTTTTGTTTCTGTATTCAATAAGAAAAATTTATTTTCTAATTTGTTTACTTTTATTCTGTAACGAGTTATTTGACCGGTTACGGTAGGAATAAATATATACACAAGTCGGTACGTTTAGTGTTAAGGCATTTTGAAAGAAGTATGCATATCAGTTGCTATTATTCTAATTATTAAGGTTTAAGCACAAAGAAGTTCATATCATAAACAAAAATACTTTCAGAACTTCAAAGTTTTAATAATGCGTGGTTACTGAAGTGTTATAGTTGAACAATCAAATCATTCACAAGATATACATATTTTTCTACATTTTAATATTTTTTATCATTCCAAATGAGTAACAAAAATTTATATAGCAACGCTTTTTAAATAAGATAAAGACATACAGTATTTGTTACAGATTCATACTTAAAGCAAAATAAGTATGCGAATTACTTTTATACTTTCCAATATATATTTTAATATTAGTTTAACTTGAATCTACAAAAAGATTTTAAATAACCATAATTGCAGTGCCTTTTAATGAATTCTCTGTAACATTTAGATCACATTTAGGCCATATTTCAAGTATTCTATAATATTATCTTCTATCATGATTTTTTTAATAAACTTATATAGTTATTATGGTTATCAGTATCTGTATAGAGTATATATCTCCACAATGAAAAACAATATGATTATGCAACATTTATTTTCCTACAATGTTGACTGCGTGTATATTATTATATGTTGTTATTGGATGTATATTATAATAGTATGTATATTTTATGTTAGAAATTATATCATATATCATTCATATATACATATTAAAATTCCACATGTGCCTGTAGGTAAAAATATTTTGTACAAACTGTTTATTCATGTGTATACAACTAATGGTTAAGGTGAACTTAATTTAGAAGTGGATGCGTTATACTAAATGTTTTCTTAAAAAGAATAATGTTCCGATAACTCAAATGTAATTGCTAAATACAGAAGGCTTTATGTTATTAATGCAGCTTGTGCTTGTTTCTTAATATCATCTGCCAATCTTTTTATCTCCTCATTGTCTGTTCTCAGTTGTTGTTCTTTCTTTTCAAGAGTAGTCTCCAAATGTTTTAATTGTTCTTTAATATTTAAATACATTTTCACTTTTTGATATGTATCAGAAGAATTTGAAGATACTAAATTTTCCCCGAGAAATTCATCTAAAAATAAATTTTTAGTTATTTGTCAATGAACGTTATAAATAATAATGCTGAAGTACACAGGATTAATATATTTGCAATGTGTCAACTATACGATAAGGTTATGATTTGAGACATATTTATAACACCGGTTTAATACTTATTTTACTACTTTTACTGATTATAAAGTATGCTGAAACCTTTGTTTATTATTTTGAATGCTATGTCATCCACAGCAGCATGATCGAGATCTTCTAACATATGCTCGGGATTAGGAATATTGGGTCTCGGTGGTAAATTACTTTTTTTATTACCAAACATATTTCGTTTGATTAAGTTTTTTTACTCTATATATATATTTTTTACTTTAAATAATTATATGTAAGTGTAAATTATTAATATTTACACAATAATGTTTAACTTCACAAAGTACATAAACACAGGACGTGGAGGTAAGTAAGAGGTATCTAGGTATACAGAATGTTCTAAGTTAGAAAATGAAGATGTGTTATAAAAAATAATTTCTACTTTATAAAAGTGTTTTTTATACAAATAACTTCTTCTCTTCTATCAGTATTCATTTTTTGTAATACACATCTGTTTTATACATTAAAAATAAAATGATTTTTCGTTATATTCACAAATTATTAAATTTAACATCAAATACAAATTGCGATTTTCCATTGGTAAATTTAGGAATTTATTATCAGTACATTAATTTGCATTAAAATAGAATAAAATTTTTAAAAAATCAATGAAAAATACTGATCAATAATCTAATTAGTTACCTACACTTCCCACGTGCACTTTCTTAGTTCGGCGCAGTTTTCAAATTTTATTGAAGATCGTGCAGCAGTGACTAGTTCTTGACTTATCATACTATAAAGTTTTGCAATTTACAATTAATAAAACTGTTCATATTATTTGGTCAATAGGCAAATAAATAGGCTTTAAAACAAATTGTATTTTTATTGCTATTATTTTATAGGTATTAAATTATTTTCATTTCTCTTAGCATCTCTGCAAGTATATAAGGGTAGCCGGTATGCCGCCAAAACGAGGTAGAGTTTCAAAGGTTAGTCATTCATGCAAGTTATTTTTATAAATTTTGTTTATTATTTCATATTAAAGCGATGTAAAATCGAAGTACGAATTTTTACGAATACACTGTGTTATTATTTTAATTATAATATAAAATGTTACATTTTAATTGATGTACGATGCCTATACAATATATTGTGTAGTATATTGAATGATAAATAAAGAACATTTGTTACTTAACTCTAGACAAATTCTACAGAAGCTAAAGTTAATAAAAAAGGTAAAACATCAAAGTCAGAAGAAACAACGTCTAAGAGATCTAAACGTAATGGAACTGATATTGAGGAGCCTGCTCCAAAGCGCGCAAAAACAGAGCCAAAGCAGATGATGAATAAAACTGATTCAAATTTCGATGAAATCGATTTTGATTGTCAGAAACTAAATGCAGAAGGAAATGAATATAATTTGAAAATTTCTAGTTGGAATGTTTCCGGGATTAGAGCAGTTGTAAAAGTACGATTTCCTTTTTATTTTATTCCTTATTTTCTACGAATGCTTGCGTAACATTGTTAGTATTAATATTTATTCAGAAAAGTGGAATGAAATACATTGAAAAGGAAGATGCAGATATAGTTGCATTACAAGAAACTAAATGTGATAAGGATAAAGTACCAGATGAAGTGAAACTAAGCGGATATCATCATTATTTTGTTGATAGTAATCATTCGTTCAATTCATTAGATATTAATTAAAATTTATAAAGATTACAATCATTTATATTATACGAATAGGTAAGAAACCTGGATATTGCGGCGTGGCATTATATTCAAAAGAAAAACCAATTGACGTAAAATATGGTATAAATGACAGTGACTTTGATCATGAAGGCAGATTAATTACTGCAGAATATCCAAAATTTTTCCTCATTAATGTTTGTAAGTTATATGGCACTGAGTAGTTTCCATAGATTTCTATTAATGTTTATGATATTCAATGATCAATTAATACTTTAGATGTTCCCAATGCTGGTCAGAAGTTAGTAACATTACCAAAGAAATTACAGTGGAATGAGGTCTTCAAAAATTATGTTAAAAAACTGGATGAGAAGAAACCAGTAATTATTTGTGGTGATATGAATGTTGCTCACCAAGAAATAGGTAATGTATTTTAATGATACTGTCTATAATATCTATTTAGTTGATAACATATTTTTTATGGGCATTAATGATACAACATTAATACATGTACAGATCTTACAAATCCTAAAACAAATACAAAAAATGCTGGATTCACTAAAGAAGAGCGAGAAGGTATGACTGATTTCTTATCTGCAGGATTTGTAGATACATTTAGAGCTCTCTATCCTGATAAAACAGGTGCTTATACATTCTGGTCATATTTTGCTAATGCACGTGGTAAAAATATAGGATGGTAAGTGAATGTAAATTTTTGTATTATTAAATTAATGTACTACAGTGTGTATTTATATGACTTATTTTTAACATTTTTTATAGGCGATTGGATTATTTTATAGTGTCACAGCGAATTAAAGATAAAATTTGTGACAATGTTATAAGAGATAAGGTATATGGCAGTGACCATTGTCCTATTGTTCTTTATACTAACATATAAAAAGCAGTTATGATTTTTATATTTAAATTGAGCGTCATTACGATTAATAATCCAATGCATGGCATGTATAATATATTTCATCTTCTAAAAATAAACTCATGTTTAGAAGAAATTATTTAATCTTCTTACTATATTGATTAATAAAATACAAGAAAATATTTTTTAAATTTGAATTTATTATTTTCCCTTTGTATACTAGTAAAATAAATAAATATAAGTGTGATGTTTATTCTGTTGACAACTTTCGTGTTTAATATTTAACCTCAATTGAGATATGATAGGTTATCCTATAGCTTTTATTAAATTCCGTTAGCCATTGTTGTAGGCATACTTATTTAAGTAATAAGAGAAATTTGTTCCAGTTAATTATTTTTCAATTTTTAGAAAAATAATTCCAGTAGATTGTGACATAATTTAAACTAATTTAACTGTTAATAAAATACTAAATTTGTATCAGACAGTAGAATTGTACGTATAACGTTTGAACGTCAAAACCGTGACGACTATAAATACGAAGGAAGCGGTAAATTCAATTGTAAATAATAATGACAAAATTGATAAATAGAGTTACGAAGTTACCAAAATGTGAAAGTCTATTTTATTTTCTTTGCTGGACTAGTGCTGTATTTTACTCTATTTATAAAGTATCTTTACTTAGTACTTGTAAGAATAAAAAATAATTACTTTTTAATATAATACAAGTGTTTCACTATTTAATATTTCCCATGATTTTTAGACTTTAATGATTATCATGATGTATATGATGATTTTTCACAAGGATGGATATGGCTAGGAAGAAAACAAGATGTTTCTGATCAAGAATGGAAGATATGGATTCCATTGATAATTAAATTAATACCATGGATATTCCTGCATCACTCCATTAGTTATATTATTAAAACATTGCCAAATACCATGGTGTGATATTTGAATACTTTTCTCTTTACTAAATCTTTTTTTCTCTGTTTTTTAAGTAATAATATTCTTACAGCTACTATGTTATTGGTATATCTTCATATCTGTTTCATCTTTATATTTTTTTATTGGAACATTAGGCACACTATGTGCAGTAATTCAACCAAGTATATTGTATATTCTAACATACAAACGCGAAAACTATATTATATGGTTGATAAACACATTGTTTCTATTTTTGATACATTTTCTTAAAATTCCTAATGGTATTTTTCAAAATGTTCTAAAACTGAGTGATGAAGAACATTATCTTTTGACTCTTACAATGTGTTGGATTCAGTTAAGATGTATTAGCTGCAGCATAGATAACAAACAAATGTGTTTAGAAAATAATTATGACAACATATATTTATTAAGGAATTTTTTGTGGGGATTAGCATATTCCTTGTATTTACCCACATTACACTTGGGACCATTGATTCTGTACCATGAATTTATAGATTCTGTATGTATAAAATGTCTTTGTATTACATACAATTTAGTAAATCCATGTAAGATGAATAATGTATAAATTTTTGCAGATAAAGAAACCATTTCATACATGGAAGTTAACAGAACTTGGATACCTAGTCTTAAATTTAATTAGATATGGGTTTTGGATACTATTTGCTAATTTTTTCTTACATTTTCTTTATTTTAATGCAATGCATTATCATCCAAGGGTAAAACTACACGTTTTAAATTTCATTATATTACTAAAATTGAATTCCAATTAACTATAAGAGGGTAATTAAAACTGCTTGTTTCTTTGTTTGAATCAGATCGTTGAAGTTTTAAACCCATGGGCTTTATATGGATTAGGATATTGCATGGGTCAATTTTTCTTAATTAAATATGTTGTAGTATACGGTTTAAATCATACTCTATGTGCAATTGATAATATTGAAGCTCCTTCTCAGCCTAAATGTGTAGCAAGAGTGCATTTGTATTCTGATATGTGGAAGTATTTCGATGAAGGTTTATATAAATTTCTTATAAGGTATAGTATGTGACAAATAGTGCATTCTTTTGAACTATTAAAACACGAGAAATGAAAAATTCTATTAACATTTTTTCAGATATATTTATACACCGTTATTAAAATCAAATTTCAATAAGGTGTTTGCCTCCTTCCTGTGCTTTGCATTTGTTTTTGTATGGCATGGAATGCAAACAAATATTTTTATTTGGGCATTCCTTAACTTTATAGGATTAAACATTGAAAACTTAATCAAGTCACTTGAAAGAAGTAAATATTGTACTAACATTCAGAAAAAGTATATGTCACCAACAAATGTCAGAAGAGTTCATTGTATTGTAACAAGTCCTTTGCTAGCAATGTCAGTAATATCTAATTTTTATTTTTTTGCTGGCGAAGAAATTGGGCACATATATGTTTATAGGATATTCCATGGTAACATTTTTTATCATGATAACTTCGAATGAATTAGGCGAAATTAATAAGTAAAATTATATGTATATGTTTGTTACAGATATATGCCATTCTACTTTAATTTTACTTTGTTTTCTGTACTGCTGCTGCCAAGTTTCTACAGATTTAAAGAATTGGGAGTCAAGAAAATTCTAATTGATTTAAAAAATCAAAATTTACATAAACGGAGGTAATTGTTGTAAAGAATGAATTATTATTAAGTAAAAGGTGGGCGCATATTTGATTATGATTATAGTATTGAATAATGTTGAACTATTTTATTGTTTTACGTACAAAATGGGTATAAAAATACAATATATAACTAAAATTATTGTTCACATTAACAATATTATAATTAAGTAATGTTTATTACGAATGATAATAAAATGTTTAGTACAAAGTATATGTGTGAATATTATTTATATAATTACGATTATTACATCATTATGTAGCAATCAGCTTTACAATGCACCTAAGGCACGTCACAGTTTACAATGAACAAATGCATATGAAATTAAGATCTTAATCATTATAATCTCTACGTTTTATGCAGTACAAATTGACTTTTTTAGATGTTATTACATAGGTTTGAGAATATAAAAAGTGTATACATTTTGTTCGTATTGAAGTATTGAAATTTTCATATTGCTTTTATCTGCTATTTCTGTGTAATATAATTTGTATTGCTAAGTGTGTTTAATTCTATATATTATTATATTACTTATTTATATGCGGTTAATAACAAAATTTGAGTGATGTATAAAAATTTTTAATTTGAAAACACTAATGCATTTGACAATGTCGAATATATTATTTTATGTGTTTACTTTATAGCAATTTATCTCTGAATTGATTTTAATTATGATATAACAATCGATATCTGCAA